TGCACCCAATCCTCTCCCCAATGATCTTTGTCCTTCTGTAAGCAAAACCATTGTTGTTCTCTCTCTTGTTTAACTGTGCTCAGATACACACAGTTGATCCACTCCACTCTATCCACTGGATGTTTCTTAAACTGGGCTTGGATATAAAATTTCTGCCCTTTGATCTGCAAAATCTCACACTCCTTCTCCCAGCAAAAGAGAAGACCTCCCTTAGTTCCATCAGGCTCCCAGTAAAACCATCTATCCTCGAAACCTAGGGATTTACAGACCCTAGCCACAAAATCTTTTTGTTTTTTTACCTCAGATAAGAACACAAAATGTGGATGGTGAGTCTTCAAAGACTCTCGCAATTGGGGAATTATGGAGGGCTCACCCATCCCTCTGTAGTTCCACACCATGGCTTTCATTGGGATGGGTGGAGCCATTTCTGGTTGGCTTCCTACCATTTTCGACTGAATTTTGGCTTTCTTCCTCTCCTCTGGTTCCTTCTTTTTCTCTTCAATTTGATGTTGGCATATGATCATGTTAGTTGCAGGTCTCTTTCTCTCCCCTTTAAGATCCGACCTTTCTACAAAGACTATCTTCCTTTGCAATCTACCTGATTTGTCTGCCTTCCTCTTCTATGTTCTGGGATGAGTGATTTCTATTTGGCCCTCACAGATCATCAATGTCTTTGCCTTCTCATTGATTCTCTCAGTTAGAGATACTTCAGACATTTGGTTGATTGGTTCATCATGTGTAGGCTGAGTGATTGCCTCAATATCATCAATTCTAGCTGGTGTCACAACTGTTGCTTGCTGCATCTGAATTTCATTGGAGCTTTGAAGTTGAAGCTGCAGTTCCTTTAGTTTATTGGATGATCCCCTCTCTCTTGCTTCATTTCTAGATGAGCTGCCATTAATATTGTTCCCCTCATCATTTTGTTCCTCTGGTTGTGTTTGATTGTTGGGGTTTGGAGAATCTGACCAATGAACTCCTTCTGGTGCTTTAACCCACTCCCCATATTTCCCCCCTTTCATTTCATTCTTCTCTATATCCAGGCTTTTCTTGCTGCAGTTTTTGTCTAAGTGACCAATTCTACCACAGTAATAGCACAGATTGATCAACTTTTCATATTTGAACTATACCAGGACACCATTATCACCCAGCCTGATGTTTGCCCATCTCTGAATTGGCTCTTTTAGGTTGAGAGTAGCCCAAATCCTCATAACTCTTCCTCCCTTATTCCCAATTCTAGCAATATGAACATTTTTTATTCCTTTGAACATTCTTTTTAGCTTCAACCCCACCTCAGTACTTATCCAGTTCAAATGGACGTTATGCACTTGGATCCAGAGATTTAATGTGTCAAAACACTCATCATTGCTTTTTAACCCTTCTTTCCATTCTTGGAAAACAAGGTATTGATTATCAAATACCCAATTTCTATTTAAATCCACATTTTCCTTATCACTTATAGATTGAAATATGAACTGAAAATAACTATCTGCTAGTTCCCGCACCTCCAAAGCATTGCCTACCTTCCAAGCTTGGGCCATTGCTCTTCTGATGCCAATCCAATTGGCTCTCTTCTCCCCTGCTATTTTGCCAAAAAGACTTCTACTGCATTCCTCTGCGCTTGTACGGACATCTCGATCTTCAATGTCAATAAAAGATATTTCACTCTCCGACGAAGAAAATTTCTCCAGCAGAGACTCGAGAGCATCATTTTCTTTCGCCATGAGATCTTCTACAACAAATCCCTAAAAGACGGGATTCCAACCAGTACCCAAATTCCACCCCACACCCAAGAACCCTAGAAAAAGCACTCAAACCACTTACCAAAAAACCCACACTCTCCCCACGAAGTAGAAGAACACTCCCAGGAAGACGATAACCCTCTCGAAGACGAGAATCGAGCCACTCTCAAGAGAGAGAAAAATCTTTTTATAATATATTTTTTTTATAAAGGAGAAAACATATTATAATATTTTTTTTCTGTTGACATGTATTTTATACCTATTATTTTATTTTTGCACCAATTTGTTTTGTCCCTTAGGTGAGTCAGATGATAGGCTGGCGCCTGATAAGACAGATAGCCTGTAAATAATAATTTATAATTATAATTATTCTATTCTATATTAACATTCTTCATTAACTACCATAATCTATATATATATAATTACTGGCTCATAAGCATTTAATAAAACCTATTAAATTATACCTACGTGGCACTTTCCCGCCAAAAACCGTTACTTTTCATTTTTTTTTTAATTATTTTATTATAAAAACATGTTTGATTTGTATTAATGTGTTGCTATGTTAATATTGGTCAAAACCTCATTTACTGTGTAGCCGTTACATTTCTCTTTTTTCCTTATTATCTTTAGTACCTTTGAATTTCGAAAATAATTTTTTTTATCATCAAAAAATTGATTCACTCACAATATTTTATCTATTTATTTTCACTAATTTATAATACTTTGTTTTTTAGTAATTAAAGTTGTTTTTAATTTTAGTAAAATATTTTGACAATATAGTCCCAACTACATTTAGTAAAATTTACCAATTTAAAGTGGCAACTAGATATTCATACTTCTTTAGCAAGTAGCTTTTGTAAAATCCACGACAAGTAGGTGTATTCGTTTGGAATTTCGAGTGACATTTAAAGGCTATTCGAGATTTGAAAATTTTAAATTAGAGGAATCTTGTGAAATTTTAAGTTTGGATGTGAGATTTGTAATAAGTTTTTATTTTTTTATAAATTCCAACAAATCTTAGAAAGTTTTAACAAATCTTAATCTCAAATAATTAAATACATCGGGATGAATACCAAATGAATATCTCAAGACTTTTGTAAGTCTTGAGAACTCTAAATTAAATTATACCATAATTTTCAAAGTCTTAAAAATTCTTCAAAATTTTTTAAAAATCTCAATTAAATACACACTTAAATTTAAAATAGCTATTTTGTAAAATCCACAATAATTAATTAAATTTAAATATTTCCCATATTATATACAACACAACAAGTAATTAACTTTAAATATTTCCATTGTATATACAAATCACAAACTCCTTTGCATCTCACTGTACAATTCATTCATGTTGTAATAAAATCATCCCAGTAAATGACAAAAAGCAACTTCCGGAGAAAAATCAGCCACCGCCACATAACATAATCCCTCGAAATTTATATATATATATATAATTACTAGCTAATAGCATTTAATAAAACCTATTTAATTTTACCTATGTGGCAATTTAACCCTTTTCCCTTAAAAAATCGTTACTTTTGATGTATTTAATTTTTCATTTAATTATTAAATAATCAACACTAATCACTTCAAAATTACAAAAATCATTTTAAACTTTTGATTATTGGCAGTTGACCATATAATGTGTTTATCGTATAATGTGATTAGATGTTATAATTGTGGTTAAATTTAAATTATTATTATTTTTAAAATAAAAAACATGTTTAAAATTCTTAAATAAATAATAAATAATTCACAAACAAAGACGTACCAAAATATACATTACATTCAATCAGATAACCACAATTTAAAAAAAAATAGATATTCCAACTCCTTTAATTGTAAATTTGGCCAGCAAAAAGGTGAAAGAAAAATATTATCGTTATATGCATATACTTTATTTACATTTGTGCAAATGCACATGTCGAATACTAGTTTTAATCAACACATGTTTCGTCTCCCGACAAACGAACAGAAAACACCTCATTTGCACATGTCGAATACTAGTTTTAATCAACACATGTTTCGTCTCCCGACAAACGAACAGAAAACACCTCATTTTCGCACTTGCTCCATTTCCATTTTCTCTCCCACAACGGCCATACAGATACTCAAACCCCATATCAAATTTCAACCCTAAAAATTCCCTCTACTCAATCCTTCCATCTCTCCTCGGATTTCGGTAGCATGGCCTGAATTTTATGATACGGGTTGAACTTCGGTGATCGTTTTCTATTTCCCGGCTAGCCATTGTTTCTTTTTTCTTCAACTTCGGGAGGATAAAGATGGCTGGCCCGGCATTACAGATGAACCCTCAGATGGAACAGATCCATGGTGAAATTCGCGATACAATCCGTGCTCTTGGGTATCTCTCTCTCTCTCTCTCTCTCTCTCTCTCTCTCTCTCTCTCTCTCTCTCTCTCTCTCTCTCCCTCCCGTTCTCCATATGCTCGTGTGATAATCTGATGGGCATGACAATCTGCAATTCGTACGTATAGGTTGATTTATTGCTTGGTAGATGTTGTCAAGGCAGAACCTTTTATAATATTGTGTTTGCCCTCTCCCCCCCTAAGGGTAAGGAGAACAACACTTCAACGAGATTTTTAGCAAATTTCGTATAAGGGATCAGACCGCCCCTGGTGTTCGAACTAGTCATTAATGGTCGGCTTCATTGGTACCCTTCTTTTCGGCATGCCGCTAGCGAGAGTACAAAGCTTTAAACATATGAATTGCATAATCTTATTTTCATGTCAGCTTGACAAAGAATCTTCTGCCCCTAACTTTGTTTTGAATTTCATTAATCATTTGAATTTCCTTTAGATTGCATGACAACTACACAATGGTTTTATTTTTATTTTTATTCAATGTGTTTATCCATTACGAAGATTTTTTCCTCCTGAAGCTTAGTTAAATAGTTCTTCAGTGGTCGATTGTGTTTCAGTGACGAATATGTTTAACAAGGTCTATGTTATGCCGGGTTTGTGACTACTTGGGATTTATGGAGTTCTTATATGTGGTTTCATGTGTGTTTTTTCATTGTGGAAGTAATAGTTCAATGCTGATTGCACTTCATGCTCTCATTTTGCTTTCTCTTATTTTTGGTTGACCAACAGCTTCTGTTGTTCAGCGCATATGTTTTCCACATTTAATATTAGATAAAAATTGATTTTCTAGGTTCAATTTTTAGAAACTTGTCCACTTTTAATTTAATGATTTGTAGTTTTTACATAACCAAAGCTGCTATATTTCTTGAATCCCCTATCAGAAATGGCTTCCAAAAGCTGGACAAAATCAAAGACTCTAATAGACAAAGTAAACAGCTTGAGGAGCTTACAGGGAAGATGCGGGAGTGTAAAAGGTAGGTGCATGATGTGTACTTTGGTTTCCTTTTGTAACTGCAACGGCTGTGTTGTCTCGTGTGGGGTGGATTATAACTATCACATGTAATGAGATCCCCGAAAAAAAAAAAAAAATTGATTTGTACTATTAAGTATCTCACTCTAGAACCTTGTAGAGGTTGCTTTTGAGTATATTAAACTGTACTTGTTAATGATATATGGGTTAATTTATTATGCCATCTTCTGGATTACAAGGACTAGTGGCATTTATTTATATTGCATTATTGATTTCTGATGTGCATCTCCGTTACTGATTTTTCTATGAACTTTTCAGATTGATTAAAGAATTGGACCGTGAAATCAAAGACGAGGAAAGTAGAAATCCTGCGGAGGTGAACAAGCAGCTTAATGATGAGAAACAATCCATGGTTAGTGTGTTGGAAACTTGAAAATTGATTTTTATCTGACTCACATTTCTTTATTGGCATTGGCATTGATTTGCTTTCTACTCATGCCGGATTTTGTAGAACATTCTTATAATGCGTAGTCAGTGTTTTGAAATATTGGGGTAATAGAAGTTCAGTCTGTTGGCTAGGATGATGATGAAAATTGTACCCTAGAGGAAATAGAACTTCAAAAATAGGTACCTTAGTATTCCACTATTGGATGTAAAGCTTGCCCTCATTCTTATGTCAGCCTTCTCCTTATATTAAGATAGCAATTCTTAGTTTTCATTGCCTCGAGTATCATGCAGACACTATGAGCAGGTTTAGTTGTCTGGTGTTAAAGTGCTGGAGAGGTAGTAAATAGCACCCTACCATGGTCACGGCTTAATATGCCTACTAGGTGGTGTGGCATGAGATTAGCATACCATTTATGGTGGACATATGAATGAAAGCGTGGTGTGGCATGAGATCACAAGATCTTATACGGTGTCGAATGAGCATGCTAAAATACGTCTACGGTGGGTTGGTAAGCGTGGTGTAAGTAGTCATAATTGGTTTGTAAGATATTTAGGTCTCATGTATAATTGGATTTCATCAGTGTAGATTATTCTATTTAATTTTTCAAAACTCTGATTCTCTGAGGAACACCCCTGGAAACTGTATGTTTTCCTCTGATTTTTTATTTATTTATTTATTTTTTTGTTTTCTGCAGATAAAAGAGTTAAATTCATATGTAGCTTTGAGGAAAACGTAAGTCATGTTTATTTATTATTTCTATGATTTCCAGCTTGTGATTATTTGCATCTGTTCTTCGCAGCAGACAGCTTGCAGTTCAAGTTCTTTTGCGTATATGGTGTTTTTGTTATAGTGATTTGACAAAATATTATAATCTCGTATTTGTTTTGATATATTTATATGATATGGGTTAATTTCTACAAGCTCAGATATACTAACAAGCTACGTTTTCTACGACTCACTGTAAATAATAAACAAAGGTGTTAAAAAGTTGGGACATTTTTGTGTTACAAATTGTTCATTTTTGGTTATTTTCATATTGTTTCCCGGTCTCGCCCTTTTTTTTTCTTTTTTATAATTTTGTTTCTCTGATTTTCATGTTATTTGCTCTGTTAGGTACATGAACACTCTTGGGGGTAAAAGAGTTGAACTTTTTGATATGGGAACTGGTTCTAGCGAGCCAGTAGCTGATGAGAATGTTCAAGTGGCATCAGGTGGCTTTCCATATCAATCATTTCTTAGTTAATCCATTTTTAAAATCTGCTGGATGTCTGGGGTAAAAATTCACGAGATGATATCTTGGTACCTGAATTTGGACATCTATTGATTCAACCTATTACTTTTGGATTCAGGAGCATCTATCTTTTGCATGATTTGGCTAATTAAATTATTCCTGTATGCACAATATATTCAAACTCGTAAATTAAGGGCTGTAGACACATTCATCATGAATAGCTTGTTGCTCCTACAACACAACTTGACATTGGATTTTCCTCGTTCTTTTCAAATGCTCATTTTGTTCTGTCAGTTGAGAATTTAATTCGGTTTTTATCTCTCACTTAATTATTTAACTTCTGGGCCTGATAAGTGGTACTGTATTTTTCAATCTAGTAATAATGTGGCATTCGTTAGCATAAGGTTGGATATTCTACCGTTTCACCTTTACAGCTTGCTAAATGGTACTCTTTCTTTTTATTAATTTTCGGAAATAAATGTAGAGATGTCGAACCAGGAGCTTGTTAATGCTGGAATGAAGACAATGGATGAAACTGACCAAGCCATTGAACGCTCCAAACAAGTACCAAATAATATATATGTGCATTCTTGAAGTTTAGGTTCAGGGTGATAGTGTCCTCTAAAGCCTGTTGTTTATAGGTTGTTCACAAAACTATTGAAGTGGGTACACAAACTGCAACTACTTTGAAGGGCCAAGTGAGTGCTCCTTTTTTCTTTTGTAGAATGCTAATTTCATTGGTCATTGGGTGTTGGGCTGCCTGACCACTGACATTCCTTCGATGGGATACAGACTGAACAAATGGGTCGCGTGGTAAATGAATTAGACACTATCCAGTTCTCCATTAAAAAAGCATCTCAGCTCGTGAAGGAGATTGGTAGACAGGTAATCATTTAGGCGACTTCATTGTGGTTTTCGTCATTTTCTTTCTCTTTATTGTGGTTTTCGTCATCTCTCTCTCTCTCTCTCACACACACACACACACACACACTCTCACTCTCTCTCTCTCACTTCACTGGTTGTTTTCCAGGTGGCTACAGATAAATGCATCATGCTATTTCTGTTTCTGATTGTTTGCGGAGTAATTGCCATAATTGTCGTGAAGGTATTTTCCTCATTCCATGATGTGCTACTTTTCTTTTGAAGTTGCAATATTTTTTCGTACATCCTATATACGACACTAGTGAAACCGATATGTATCTGATATTTATCTACATGTTATAGATACTGAACCCCAATAATCGAAACATACGGGATATTCCTGGACTAGCTCCACCGGCTCCTACTACAAGGAGGTTGTTGTATCTAAGAAAAACACAAGGCACAGTATTGTTCGAGTAAATTGGTCGGTCCAATTTCCATGATGAGGCTTCAGTAAACAAACAAACAAGTGTCTGTGAGGGAATTGATTGATATCTTTTGCTTTGTTGTGTTAATTCTTTTTTTATAATATGGGTTTGTTATTGAGTTGTGCATATGTGCGTTTCCTATTATGTTTATTTCTTTGGTTGTTGTGTCAACGGGCGTTATTCATTGTGTAAACTGTTAGAGAGCATACGAATTTAGTCGTGGAGCAAAAATGTTTACTCAGCTTATGATTCATTTACCGGCCGGTGTACCTATGAAACAATGGCATATATCAATATTTGATTTTATCTTGTGTATGTTTTATTGCCTAGTTTTATTTTGTTGTGTTTGGGATACCATATTACATAAAACAATAACACTTGTTAACTAGGGTTGAGCATGAGACTCGGAGAATTTCCAACCGAACTGAAATCACTTAGAACTGAAAAATAATCGTTGACCGTTTGACTTTCTTCGAACCGAACCGAGAAAATAATTGGTAAAAAAAATGGATGTGTGATATTAATTTTTAGTGAAAATAGTTTTTTTTTCACCCCACTATCTATAATAATTGAAAGAGGAAGGTAAAAAAAATATTTGAGGAAAGTTTAAGAAATTTGGTCAAAAAACCTTTGACCTCCAATTGTGGAATGTCTTTTAAATATCTGATTTTTTTTTTTTTTTTTAAATCATGCTTAATTTATCTCCTATTTTCACTTCATTTTATTTTGTATAGATATGTGTAAAGTCATTTAAATATCAAGCCATTTGGTAATTATCCTAGCAATTCTCTTGCTTTTATTTTTCTTTTAAATCATATTTATCTTATCTCCATTCTTCACGCCCATTTTGTTTTGTTTGGTAGAAATTGGTGGATAAGATAACAAATTCACGCCCATCTTATCTAACAAATTCATTCTAAAAAATCGCATAAGATAACAGTGTATAAAAGGGTATCCATTGATACCCTTTTTCATTCATCTCATCAAAACGCGGACGACTTCAAAATACAAAAAACAGAGAAAATATTATGGCACCCTTCTTTAATACAACCGACGCCATCAACAGATCTAACAAACCATTTTTGAGGTTGAGAGTAGTCCTACTGATGGAAACTCATGACGATCCGGAGCATCCAAATGCTTTTCACATCATGTTTCATGATGAAGTGGTAACTATTCCAATTGATTTGTCAATAAAATAAATATTCATAACTAATTTAATGTTTCATTTCATGTTTGATTATTTTTTGTCAATTTTTTGATAATTGAAAAATCTAGGGTTCATACATCACTGGAATAGGACTGAAATATATTATGTTTCACGAATTAGGACCGAGATTATTATGTTTCACAAATAATTCATATTATATTATTAAATGTAAATATTCCGAAAAATGTTTTAGGACTACTACCACTATAAATAACCCAAAAATCATAGATTCCCCCAATCAATCCTCACGCCTTCAGAACAAATTCTTCTCCACGTAAAAAAAAAAAAAAAAAACACAAAATATTTGTCATTGAACAATTAAGCTTGATCAGACAACTCAATATTAATATGAGCTTCTATCTTAGGCTTAGAGCCATACGCATTTTCAAGAGATCTTTCCATGCATCGTACCAAAGCGATTGGGAAATTCTTTTCCACGATATGGAGGTAAATATATTGCATTAAATTTTTATTTTGATAATTGTTTATTTTTTTTTTATTATCTCAATAACAATGTTTATTTGTTTTGTAGGGATCACGAATAACTGGTATAGTTCGTGGTCCGCCCATATTTGCTGGGTTGCTTGAGGAGGGTCGGGTCTACATATTTAGCAACTACCAACTAGGGGTGAGCGTGGGTCGGTTCGGTTCGGAGATTGATAAATCTCCAGAACCGTACCAAACTTCGGAGATCCCAAAATTCGATCTCCGGAACCGTACCAAAAAGTCGGTTCGGTGCGGTTCGGTTCAGATATTTTTACTTTTCGGTTCGGTTCAGTTCAGTTCGGTATTCGGGACTATTGGGACAGTATGGTTTGGTTCGGATCTTCGGAGATTTTTTTTATTTTTTTAAATTATTTTTGAATGACTACCAAGTTATATTTTAAGTTTTATATGCTTTAAAAGAACAACATTCATCAATAATTCATCATATTGAAGATTTTATTTTGACATCAATTATAGAAGTAACTTTAAATTATAGTTATTTAATTTTATATGCTTTAATAAAACCAACATTCATCAGTACTTCCTCACATTAAAAATTTTATTTTGAATCAACTTTATAAGTAATTCTAAATTTTAGTTATAACTAAATTTGTGCAACTAATATTGAAAATTTAAAATTCAAATAAAATATAATATTTTTTATTAAAAATATTCTTTAAACTTTCATATTGTTTTAAATAATTATTTTATAATAGAAAAAATTCAATTGTAGATCAAGTATTACTAACCATGAAATTTAAGTGAAGGTTAATATTATTATTATATTATATAGAATCAAAGGTTACATAAAATATATTAATTACACATCTAATGTTATAATTAAGTTCTTAATTTCGGTTCTTCGGTTCGGTACAGTATGGGACGGTTCGGTTTGGTTCTTGGTACGGATATTTGTGAAATCTCCAGAACCGTACCAACTATTTTTTCGGTTCGGTTCGGTTCAGAGAAAGTCAAACGGTCAATGGTTATTTTTCGGTTCGGAGTGATTTCGGTTCGGTTTTTGGAACGGTTCGGAATTCTCCGAGTCCCATGCTCAGCCCTACTACCAACTATAGCTCAACGTTGGTAAATTTCGATCTACTAATGCAGATTACAAAGTTATAATTAATGGGAATACTGAAGTCCTTCACGTGCTATCTAATTTCCCTACATGGGAATTCGACTTCCGTAGTTTTGTATTTCTTCAAAATGATGACATTGTGGACGAGTCAATCCTTTATGATAAATCTTTTATTTATTATTTAGGGTGGATTCAATTTTTTTCAATTTTAATTTTTTATTGTTGATATATTAATTAATAAAATAGTATTTAATTTTTCTACTAATATCTATTGTAGATGCTATTGGTATGGTCGTCGAGGTTCGGCCCATTCATTTAGATTGGATAAATGGAGGATAAAAGCAAGGGATCCCTTTTTCAATGATGGATTTGGAGTAAGTAATAGATATAGTACAGGAATTATATATTTGTAAAGTGTGTGTAAAATACTAAAATTTAATATTAAATTTCTTTTTTTAACTAAATAGTGGATTAGTAATGCGTTGCGAACTTTTGGGGTGAATATGTTCACGACTTTATTTTTTGTGAAAATCACTTCCAATCTGCGGACAACGGAGAACCATGGGTTCTCATCATGCAATTATGTAGGATAAAACAAAAGATTGCAGGTATTTCGAATTTGTGATTATTTATATTATAATACAAAAAAAATATCAATGATATTCTATATAGTTTAAATTGCAATTTAATATATATTGTTTTACAACAGGTGAGTATCAATTGAGTTCATATATGAATGTCACAAGTCTTTTTGCTTCTAATGTTTCAGAAATTATAGATTTTCGCAAAAAGTAAGTGTTCGCGAACAATTGACACTTTATTTTATTTTTGGACGTTTTGTATAGATATTGTATATATTTTGTGTGTATATTTTCAATTTATCAAATTGATATTTAATTAATTTACTTAATTTTTCGTGTATGTTATAAACTTGTGTACACAGACTTTTAAGTAGCAAATGGTACAAGCCGAATATGTATGTCACCAACAACAAGGTTGTGATGGAGAGTTGAATAGAAATGCATGGCAATGGTGATATGAAGAGTGATAACGAGGATGTTGGGAATAATTAATTAGTTCAATTTTTATCGAGTTAATTGTTGCGTTTTCAATTTTTCGAATTTATTAGTATTGGTGTTCAATATTATGACATTTGGTTTTATTTCAGCCGATTAATACCCACTCTATCTTGTTATTGTTTTCTGTTCACTTTTAAATTTAATTTAATATAAATTTCTTCATATTCATTTTTTCGTGGAATTTACTTTTAAATCTAATGATGCAGCGATTTTAAAATTAATTATTATAATATTAGATAATGATATAAAATGTAATTTAAATATTAGATAAGTACACAAATACGACCGAAATATTTATGTAGCTCACGGCTCCTATTGAATGTTTTCAATTCATGCGTGCCTACTATTATGGGTTATGAGATAAATTCTAATAAATTTTGACAACATCTCTAATTAACTAATTGATAAGTACCCTTAATTTAAAATATATTTTGAACTATTTGAAATTATGAATTAAATATGATATAAGTACAAATACAACAAAATTTTTTTTGTAGCTCACGGCTCTTATTGAATGTTTTCAATTCATGCGTGCCTACTATTATGGGTTATGAGATAATTACTAATTATTTTTGACAACATCTCTAATTAACTAATTGATAAGTACTCTTAATTTATTACATATCTTGAACTATTTGAAATTATGAATTAAATATGAGATAAGTACAAATATGGCCATTTTTTTTTTTTTT